CCGCCGTGCGGCCGCCGTGAGGGGAGAGGAGCGGCGGTTTGTCCCGGGAGCGCGGGGACCGCCGGCGGGTCTGCCTCCGTCCTGTGACGGGGGGTGGGTGGGGAGAGCCCGGCGTTAATTGCTGCCGCAGCCTCCTAACTTCCTCCCGGCGGCGGCGGGCGCGGCAGGGCGGCCGGGGGGGTTCGGCTCCCGCGGGTGGGAGGTTGGGAAAGAGCCTCCGGTGTTGTCCCGATGTTACAAGACAGCAGGGTTCGGGGGGTGCCCGCCGGTCACCCTCTAAAGGCTGGGGAGGCGGCTCGCTCATAAACAACGCAGCCTTCAGTGGGGAAACCTAACCGGGTTCAGTGCCGGGGGAAAAGCCAGGTGCGGCTGGGTTTTGCTGAATTCACTGTGCCCTGACAGCATCCCTGAAAATTGATCGTGGTGTTTTTGGAAATAACTGCTTCCAATGGATCTGTGGCATGCTTAGTCCTGCCTTGTAAGAGGTGTGCTGAGGGAGAGGAAGGGGGGTGTTGGTGCTACCTTTCAGCAGGCTCAGGACAAGATACAGGCTTAAGTCAGGGACAGAGGAAATCCATCCAGCCTGGGCTGACGTAGCTGGGAGCGTGTTCTCACCTTTTCATCACCATTTTTCTCTCTTTCAGATTCAGCCCTGACTTTGTCTGCCTGGTTAATAAAATTCACTGGAAGTTCAGAATATAACTTCCCAGGAGTGGTTTCTTTTTATTTAGGAAAAAAAAATATATAGATGCCATAGATACAGATAAAAAATATCTAGGAAAATGGAGTCCCAAATATCTAGCACTAGGCTTTCTGCAGCCTGCAGTATGAATAAAGGTCTTAATCCATGCACTGCTTTCACCTTAGGTATGTCTACCCTGTTCTCTTCCACAGCAGCGGGCACTGTCTCACCCTACCAACCTTCTCTGCCCTTATGGTGATCATTCATTTACTTGGAGTTTTCGCTTAACTCATATCTCATTTCTGCTCTTGTTTTGGGCATGGTTTGGTTTTTTTTTTGGTGAGAAAATTGGTTTTGGTGGGGTGTTTAGATGTCCGTACATGGGGAAGTTAAGGTATCGGGATCCTCAGTGCAGACAACGTCTCGTCTCTTTCAGGCTAAGGGAAAATCCCAAAACAAAACAGGCTAGGTTATCCTGGAAAGCTGTAAATAGGCAGAAAAGTAGGTGGTGAAGACATAGTTCTGTAGTAGGTCTACTTTTAAATACTCAGCACTACAAAGTTAGTAAAGTTGGTCATATTTCTGTTTGCACATCAAGTGCTCAAGTGAAAGTTGACCCAACGAAAGCTTTGACTAAGCACTCTCCTGAAAAAGCATGCTTACCTGCACTCTTATGTGTAGTGTTTTTAAGTTAGAAAACTACTCGATTGTATTTTTAGAAAACACAGTTTAGAAAAAGGATCCTTCATGTGATTTCTTGTCTGTCTGTCCCATTCTGTCAGTTTTTTCCTTTTCTATGATGAAGAGCTTTTCTTGAGAGAATCATGTAACTGACAATACTAGTATTATACCCTGTGAGCAGCACAGCTGGCCAAAAATGAGTAAAATGAGTCAGATTAGAAAGTCGTTACTTATAGTATGTTGTGCATATGGAGAAATACAGCGATGTATTTTAGTTTTTAGGATTACCTCAGTTCTCTGTTACTCCTGGTTTCCCCAGGGTCCCTCTCTGGGTGGCAGTCCTTAGCAGCTAGCAAAGCTTAGTAGATGAGCTTGCCCCACTTTGCATTTTATCTGCCCACCTTTCTTATGTGTAGGAGGTGCCATTGCCAGGCTTTAGCCGCATCTATCTTTGCTGTTGGATTTTTATTTTTTTTTTTTCTATAAAAAACATCGTGGCGTGGGTTTTTATTAGTGCCAAAAAGGCTTTGTGTTCCTTACAGTCTGTTATATATTAACAGAAGTTATGTTGTGGTGAGTGAGGTTGGGCTTAAGTGCCCAATACAAAAATGCTGACTGTCAGATGTTTGCATCTCAATAAGGTTGTCTGTGCTGGAGAGCTTTCAGGGATAAAGTCCCAAATAGTTTAAGTATCACGCTGCATGTTTTCCTCTGCCACAATGGAGAGCAGCTTAATAGCTTGCAAACATTTTTAGAACAGCACTTTTTTCTTACCAAAAAACTCCAGGATTTTCTTAAGGCCTAGAAATACAATTCGTTTTATTAACTGCATTTTAAGCTGGCATAATGACAAGGGTCCCTAAGCCTTAAGATAGTGGGGTTTATATATTCATTATTATGGAATGAGACTCTCCCCTAGAGGTAAAATCACCACCAGGATTGGGTGGGATCATCTTGATCTCCTTTGCCAGGCAAAAAACAAACACTTCATTTTTCAATTTAGAATAAACCCCATCTTTTATTCTTAAAATCTTGAGGAAATGAAGTGCCTTTTGGGGTTGGGCATTTTAAAGCTGGTTCTTTTGTACAGGACTGCAAGCTGTTTAAGATTTTTGTAATTTCTTCTAGAGGTTCAGCCAAATTATCCAACCTTTTAAAGGTTCTGTGTACAAGTTTATCTGAGCCATAATCTTTTCTGAAGTGGCAGTTTTCAAGGGCTGGAAAATAAAATAATGAACACAGTAACATATTATTGACTGAGGAAATTAAGGACAACATCCAAATTCCTGCCCAATGGCTGTTTGCTCGTTACCATCAGGCTCCAAGCTGAGCAAACATTTGTTGTACCCACTGGTGCTGGTGTCCTCCCCACTGAAATATTCCCTCCCTCTCACACTCTTCAGCATCTCTGGAAGCTCTCCCCAAAGCCTCTGTTGGGATTACTGTATTTGCCTGCCTGTGTCTCCAACACACGGACTCTTCCTTCCGCTCCGGACTTCATCCTGCCTCTACCTCTCACCTGAACTTCCACCAGACTCCTTTGCTCAGTGCACCTATCTTCTGCTTCCCAGATCTCATCCCCTTTGAGGTCCATTCAGTCAGCATTCTTCAGGTTTCTTCTCCCAATACAAACTTTTTTAATCACATAATTGTTCTACCTGCGTTACCACTTGTGCTTTATTAAACTCAGTTTATTAAGCTTGCTCCCATGCTGTCACATTAAATCTTCCCACTCTGATGCTTTAAATTTCACCTGCTGGATAATCCTCACAACCATCGCTGTACCCCGACTAACCCATCTACCTACTTACAAAGTAAGTATCTACTGACTTACAAAGGATGCACTTTCCTTCCATAAAAACTTCTCTGCCCAGAGAAGCTGTGGATGCCCCATCTCTGGAAGTGTTCAAGGCCAGGCTTTGAGCAACCTGGTCCAGTGGGAGGTGTCCCTGCCCATGGCAGGGGGGCAGGAACTAGATTATCTTTAAGGTCCCTTCCAACCCAAACCTTTCTGTGAGTCCGTGGTAAATGCTGTTGCTTAAAATTGCTATGACTCAGTGAAATCTTACTGCCACCTTTTTGTAGAAATACCTGTTCCTCTTTTTATCCATAAAATTTCAAAAACCTCTCTTTGAACCTTTCATATTAAATCCCTTACTGTAACTTCCCTCTAACCTTCCTGTGAACTCTCCACCTATGCTCCATGACCTATGCGCCTTTCTAATGTCAAACCTCCCCCTGAAAGTAAAATAATCCTCAAACGTAGCACTACTATCCCTCTTGACTCTTCCTTTTAACCTTTTCTTACTAATCCTTTCCAAGCCAATGCTCTGCTGTCCTGCAGCAGGACTTGCTCCCCTCTCTCTGACCACTCCTGCTGCCATGTGTCTAGGATGAGATAAAACCAAGTGAAATGCACTTTGCAGGTGTCTTCCACCTTGTACTCTTTTGTTATTCCGAGTTATATTGCTAAAAGAACATTTATTATCTGTCAGAGATGGTCAAAAGAATTTAGGTGGTTCTCCAAGTTCTTGACCATTGGCCTCTTTCCAATGACTTCAGGAGGCTCATTTGTAGCGGATGTCAGTGAAGGTATGAGCTGTGTGGGGAAACGTGGAGACGCTGGTAGTCTCATATCTGGCCAGTGAAGCAATTGCATATTTTATCTCTAACCAACTTCCTTTTTTTTAAAAGTATGTAGTGGGAGTTTTTATTTCTGTTTACATCTGTACTGTTTGCTTTCAAATTCTCTCTTAATCTGTGGTTTATCTCTTCTTACCTACCAAATTCTGTTATCGCTTGGTCTTGGCTGTTTTTGCGTTTTTGTCTAAATGCAGATAAACTGCTGTCCCTTCCAATTTAATACCACTTTCTGCTACTTCTGAGTTACGCACGTTATCTAATCTGAGAGGCTTAGCCTATCATCATAGATTTTTATGTCCTTTTCTTCCAGGAATTAATTAAATTATTCTTTTTTTTCCCCTCACTGGAGTTTAGTGTCACAGTGCTGACCTTCTGGCAAGGCTTTTCTCTCTGAGGTTCTAACAACTAATTATGTTGTAGTCACTATAGTCAGTGGTTTAACTAGATTACTTTGTTATGACTTGTGCCTGGAAACTCATACAAATCTGAGACTCCCACTTTTACTGAAATGTCATTTTTATCCTATTTGCTGCGCTACTGAATTGGATGCTTAAAACTTTTTTTTTTTTTTTTTCAAGTGCTAGGGTCTGATTTGAAATCTTGCATGTAAATGCAACAGATCTGTGAAATAGCTGGATTTATCATGAGGTGTTAGCGTTCAAGATCAGTCCTAGAGTCCATCTTCTAGTCTGGTTTCTGTATGTGTTTTACCATTCTTGAGCTCTGCTGTCATTTGGCCAAAAATAACTATGTAGTGTCTTTGAAATAGAATCATAGAATGGTTTGAGTAGGAGGGATCTTAAAATTCACCTAGTTCCAGGCCCCCTGCCTTGGGCAGGGACACCTCCCGCTAGACAGGGTTACTCAAAGCCCCATCCAGCTTGGCCTGGAACACTTCAGGGATGGGGAATCCACAACTTCTATGGGCAACCTGTTCCAGTGCCTCACCACATTAAAGAATTTCTTCCTAATATCTGATCTAAATCTCCTCTCTTTCAGTTTAAAACTCTTACCCCTTGTCCCATCGCCGCACCCCCTGATAGAGAGTCCCTCCCCATCTCTCCTGTGGGCCCCAAATGGTTTGGTTTGACAGACAAACTAGTGTTGGTTCTTGCAGCATTCATCTCATGGATAGAGGAGTGCAGTGTGAAAAGGAAAAAACCAAACTGACAGAAAGAAGTTTGCTTGGTGTTTGAAGTATTTCATCTTGTAGTATGAGGAATCAGTGCGGAGATTGCCATCTGTCTCCAGCTGGCAGTTGTTGGATAAGGATGACAGCGGGGATGGGAATGGATTCAGTATCCCAGCTGACTTTGAAGTCATCTGGTGATGGCTTCAAAGGCACGATGAGAAGGTTTTCTGCCCCAATTCACAATTTTGCTCTTTAAGAGGGTCTGTTACTGCTTCTTGTGTTCTGCACCATATGAGGGTACAGACCAGTGACTCTCCTTATCTTACTGCTCCTTGCTACTTGTGGTGACGTTCAGCCAGCACACCTTTGAAACAGTTTATTGAGCAACCATGCTACCTCTTTTTTTTCTGCCCAAATAGGTACTTTCTAGTGCCAGATTTGAACAGTGAACTGGGAAAGAATGCCCTATTCTATTATAACCCTCGCTTTTGTGTTCACTGTGGAGGAACCTAGGGAGCATCTGGCGGTGGAGCTCTTCATTACGGGGGATCCATCGAAATCAAAGTATTGGAAAGTAACAGAACAAACTGAGAAAGTGAAAATAACAAATTGTCAAACTAAGTGGCACTGATAAAGTAGCAGATGGAATTTGGTGTAGATAAATGTCAAGTGACTTATGTTGGGGAAAATTTTCTAAGGTAACAAGCTACCTAGACGTACTTGAGCAGCGCTGAGTCTGTCAAACTAAAATGCTCCTGCAGAATGTCCATGTGCTGCCTCACAGGAAGAATACCAGGGAGCGTAATGCAGAGGAATTAGATTTGCCTGTGTGCTCAGTCATTAGTCGAGCCTCCACAGGACTCTTTTTGAGAGCTCTCCTTTTGGGAACAAACTGCTCCCAGACAAAGGTGCCTCTGGTATCTTTGTATTCCTCCACAAGGGAGAGAGCTCGTGTAGTCTTCCAGATATGTGGCCTTGGGTGTTTTCTGTGGTATGTCTTTGTGCCACATTGTCCTCTAGACACTCCTGAGTTCTCTGGCATACGCTGCATGGGCAGTTGGGCTGCCACCATCTTGTTAGTGGGGGAGTGTCTTGGTTTCAGCGGGGATAGAGTTACTTTTCTTTCTAGTAGCTGCTGTGGTTTGGATTTAGTATGAGAATAATGTTGATGACACATATTTTTTTAGTTGTTGCTCAATAATTTTTCCATTAGTCAAGGACTTTTTCAGCTTCCCACAGAAGCTGAGCGGGAGCATAGACAGGACAAGGTGGCCGAAGGGATATTCCATACCATAAACATGCATAGTATATAAACGGCAGTTGGCCATTTACATGGAATCTGTAATCGTTGCTCGGGATGGGCTGGGCAACTGATCATCGGGTGGTGAGAGCAACTTGTGTTGCATCACTTTTTTTTTTATATTCTTTTACCATCATTATTACTATTATTATCATCAATGTCATAATCTTCCATTACTGTTCTATTAAACTGTCTTTATCTCAACCCACAAGGTTTTTTCCCCCCTTGGAGCTGCCAGCTTATCAAGCCTGATGTGCCACCTAACATACTGTCTGTCGCCTTGGTAATGAAGCTGACTGTGCCTATTCATAGGACAGAAATAATATTGTAAGTTTAAGTTACCCTTAAGATAACCTTAAGTTAACTGCATAATTATGGTATGTTTCCAGCACCTGCAGAGTCTATTCATTCTTCTTAAAGACAGCATCCTCTGGCCGTGCTCACCTCTATACAGGTAACTCTCATTATAGTTCAAAACATAGTTAAGCAGATTTTGGTCCACACCAAAGACAATGCAGTTCCTGTCTTTCTGTATCCCCAAATGTAAGCATGCAAATGAATAATTAGAAACCAAATCCAGTGGTTGCTGGCTTACTGTCAGTTCGTGTCTTGTTGGTACTGGTTATGATTCATAACCCTTCAGGGTGCTTTTTTTTTTTTTTTTTTTAATTAACAGCCCTCTAGCTTTTTGATTTGTCGAAGGACCGATACAAAGTCAGTAAAAATAAATGAGGTCTCTCGATGCTCAGCCTGTATCTCTTGGTTAGACCGTTACACGGCATCCTTTTGCTCTGACCTCATGCAGGTGACGAGCTGCACGCAGTAGAAAAGCGCAGCGGGCACAAAACCGTGTCCCAAAAGAATCATAGTTCGGGCTGACGGATCTCCTGAGAGAGCTGACTAAGAAACTTGGCTTCACTGAAATGCAGTAGATGATGCATGCAGAATTTAGTGTGATGGCTTTTTACAATGCTTTGTTTGAGCTATCCGTTCATTTGGCGATTATTTTTCTCCCGCACCACAGTATTCCTAAGGCCTACTGTGTTTCATAGGACGGACCATAACGAAGTTGCCTTGTGAAAGGAATTGGGCAGATATTTCAGGAATTTAGTACTGGTTATTAGTAGCAATCATCTGGATGTGTCCAAACCAAACACAAACAGCAATCAATCAGCGGCTGTGACACATCAGTGAGTGTACGCAGAGGAGGGGGAAGCACTTGGAAGAGTTCAGAGTCAGCTCGTATGAAACCAAACAGGCTACAAAGGGAGAGAGTAGCTTAAAGAACTTAAAAAATAAAGTGTACTTCCTATTGTTAAAATTATGTTGATATTTTATAGTATGAAACTATTTCAATGCTATATGGCCATTCTGTAAACATCTAGGATGAAAGCTTGGGACTGAATTTTCGTATGAACAATTGGAACAAAATCTCTGTGCCTACATTGTAATTACTTTTATAAACAAATGTGGACAATGCTTAAAAACGAATTTTGTGTTTTGCTCATAATACACGTTC